TTGTTTTTCCTTCAGAGTAATGAAAGACTAAGCTGGTCTGAGATTGTAAACCTTCTATTCTTATGATCCATTCCTGTAGATATATGCTTGTCATTTATCTATCCCTTATATGATTTGGAGGGGCCTTTAAAGCATAAAGCATGGAGGGCCCCAAGTGTCCTATAGGAGTTTTAGATTTACTCCCAATGATAAGCCTGCATTTTAAGCAAACTAAGGCTGTTAAATAGAATCTGACTAGGATGAATAAAGGAGATGAAATGGAACAACACCCTTGATAAGCTAAGCATCTTTTTCGACTGTTGCCCTACATCTCTATCATTTACCCTGCTTTTGTCTTCCAAACAAAGACCAACTCAGTCTCTTGAACTCCTAGCCCACTTAACCATGCAAATATATCTTCGTTCAATTGTGATATGGGCATCAAGGGTCAAGTCATGGAAACATTGTCTCCGTCTGCAGGAATAAAGCTACGTACATCTAACCATCCTCAAATCCCGCAATGGTTCATAAACTAGACTACCTTTTATCTTAAAGGTCTGTATGGGGGTGTTTTGTAAATTGGTGTTCCTTAGTTATTAAGAAAAGAGGCTGGGCAGAGATCCAGAGAGCCAACTAAAATACCAGATTGCTAGAGGGGGTAGCAGTCATAAAGAATCATGGATGGAAAAGAATGAAGGGCATAGAACACCCCATAAAAAAATAAAAAACAAACAAACACTAGCTTTATGCCATTTGAAGATCTCACTTTAGAATTCCAAGCTCTATTTTCTATGCAACAAAAATAACAGTCTTGGTTTCTTGTGCTTAATGTTTTTCTTTATGCTTTTTCTTTTGCCCCATTCAATGTTCAAAGAGGACCCTCTTCAAATCTCTCTCTCTCTCTCCATGTTTGTAATTTCTTTTTTCTTGTTTATCCAGGTAGATCAACTTTTTCTTGGATTGATTCCATGATTATCATATATTATATGACATGCAAGTTGGAAGGTTCTAAAGCATAGGTTCTTATGCCTTTATCAAAACTGCATGATGGGATTCCATGGCGTCTCTTAAGTTGAAGGGAGACCAGTCATGGTCATCAATGGGCTGATTCTCTGCTTTTTTATCTTCCAATTAAGGTGAAAAGAGTGATTGAGTGGTTGCTTTCCAGTTCTTATTCTCCACAAGGTACAAATTCTCTTCACCACATATAATCATGTGATTGATTCTTTCATCCACTTCAAGATTACAAATTCCCAGTAATCTGGCTCATACCCAACGTGAAAAAGTCCAATCTGTATGAATTGGTTTAATGGTTGAACAAAGGACGAGATGTAGACCACACGTCTTGAGTTTAAATCTCACTAATCAAATAAAATCATATTTAATCGAGCAATGCCAACCTTTAAATTAAAGCCAATTCAATTCAGTAAATCAGTTTTAGTGTTTGTTGGAGGGTACCTTTTGATTTGTGTTGTACGTGTACATGCTTTTCTAGGTTAATGTACTTATTTAGATTCTCTTGCCCTCCAAAGGTCGTCCCCATATCCTCTTGAATGTTCAATTAAATCAAATAAAAGTGAAGATTATTAATAGGAGTTGTCTCGGTTCTGGAGTTTTGGTCTTAAAGTTGCAGCTTCCTATAACTTTATTTCAAACATATTGGTCCCATAGGGGTTGAGCCCTTGGCTCAAAATGATCATGGTAAATGAGAGGAACCCATAGAATGAAGGGGGTCATAAAAAGGGTCATTACCCAGTTTGTGTTGGGCCATTTGTGAAGCTTAATTTGTATGTTGATCCGGATGATGACTCGACCCAAAATAATGTTGCGTGATTTTTTAATGAAAAATTTTTTGAAACTTGTTCCATGGAGCGAAGGCTTGGGCCAATAAGCCCAAGTCATAGGAAAATTTTTTGGACCTATTTTGTAGCCCGGTGTGTAGGACATATAAAAGACCGCTACTTTGGTGATTAGGGTTTGATCAATGTATATAACCGCTCTCTGTAATCCTCTCTCTCAATAGTAGAAATCCTGCAGTTTCGTGAACGTAGGAAAATTGTCGAACCATGTAAAATTTTTGTGTCTTGTTCTTTCTTGTTTCTTATTGTTTTATGTTCTTGGTTTGTTCTTCGATTGTGTGTGTTTGTCTGTGGGTTTAACCATTTCTCAATTTGTACATGTCATTCTTGCACGGTGCAATGCTAATGATAATATTACTTGTATCAAGTAATACTTCTTAGATCCTAGCCAACAATGTGAAAATTAGAATTACTTAGATAAAAAATTGAAAACAGATCAACAATCCTGTGTACAATTTTGACTTTGGATCAATTGCCACTTCCAGATTAAAAAATCAATGTAACGGTGATAGTAAGTCAAACATTGCCACTCAGTATCATCGTTCAATAAAAACCAATAAATGAGCAAGTGAACTACATAAAACGCAGCATGTCCCATCCCTCCCAAATCCATGTAGTATGATAGTTATCCCATATAGAACAAAAAATGAAGTTTACTTTACCTATGTATTAAACGATAATGTAATGTGACAATGTTGATGTAATATCATTGTCATATCGATCCCGTCAGTTGTTTGGCATAATACCATGTGAAGCACAATGGCACCAAAGGGAGAGATGAATATTGGTGGGCCATGTTGTTGTTTTCTTAAGGGCCAATTTAATGGTTTAGATGAACTGGAATAAGTTTCTTAATGGACATGCTAACTAAGTGCTAAAGGTTAGTTTTAGGGGACAAAGGTGGACACAACAATCAGAATGTCACAAATAACACAGATTCTAAAGAGATGCTCTTCTAACTAAGCAGATTCTAAAGACATGCTAACTAAGTGCTAAAGGTTATTCTGATCCCTGATCAAATTGCCAATTGACATGAGGCGTGTAGGGTTGGGTAATGGCACGAGCCAAGCCTATAGAACCCAACCAGTCAACAGTCCAAGCCAGGTGGTTCATGGTCCAGGCCATCCGGGCAGAGGACCAGGGCCAAGTTACTTCAAACCACACGATAATGGCCAAGCTGAACCATGGCCTCAGGCTTCTGGACAAAAAATACATGAACATGATCAATTAGAAAGCATAAAAAGTAAAATATAGGTGAAAATAACTGTGAATGTCTGACAAGAATTAATGAACATATTCTCTCAACCGATTTTTCCCTAGCAGCTCATGCTGAGAGATGTAAAATCCTTGGGCGCATTTAACAGACAAAATGTACACATACTGTACAAGAACTTGCATGGCCTTTTTACGAGCCCATCAAAAAGTACATACCGAGAACCCCCTCAAATATTATTGATAACGAGTGCAGCAATTTGTTATTAAACTTCTTCTTGCTGTGGAGCCATGGAGGGTGCTGGTGAAGCTATTGTGAACTGTACACCTCGGCTTTGGGCAGACTGTAGCACAAATGCAAATTGTGTTGCTGCCAGTGCTGCGGCCTCCTGTATCAGCAAATTACAGAAATGTTAACGAATCATGTACACACTTATGTTCATCATGCATCAGTCCCACCTTTAAAGCGAGGACACCCCAATGGGAAAAGATATCATCACTTTCTTAAACACAACGGTACAAGGAAATTATTGGGATATTTGGACTGGACACTCAAAGGATAAGCGAATGATAGTATGATAATGGTCGACAATAGGGCTAAAGAAGACACAAACCTGTCTTTGCCTTCGACGCTGCAAGATGCTGACAGCCCAGGCCATGATGTAGCATGGCAAAAGAAACCCAGCAGCCCGTAGCAAGAAAAGCTGTGAAGCATCAATCAGTTGATAAACTAAATTCAACCACATGCTAATTATGAAGGACAAAATTGCAGTTATACATAGAACATGAAACAGCCCATAGAGAAGGTCATGTCACACTTACAGAGAAAATGGTAGCTGAGTCTTCATCATCAGTTTCTGTTACGGTTAATGCATGCCGCAATAGCAGAAGAGCCATTAACTGCCAAACAAAGTCCACAACGATTAAGAATATTCAGCAAGACGCTAAGAAACTTTCAGAAAATGGTAGCATCATTCAACATGTTTTCATTGTGTATCTCCTAAATATCCAAGAAAGAAGCATATTAAACAAGTTTATTGAACTAAGAAATACTTCTAACATCTCTGTATGACCCTAAGACAGTGGATTTAGTGTTTAGGTTATCCCCTTTGGTACAACGAATAGCAATTCGATGATATGTTATTCATTATGCCCAACTGTAACTAATAGAAAAATGAAAATAACAAATAACAATAAACAGCAACTCCGATACCACTAATTATTTCCATTCAATTTTTTCATCATCTGTGCCCATGAGGACTTACAATCAGTGCAGCTGAACGACAAAATGCAGCTCCGCTGGAATTTGTAGCATTATAATCCTCAAAGTCAGCTTCCAAAAACTGACGTTCTGCCTCCGCAATTGCCAAAAGGCGAGGATCATGCAAATCCAAAGGTGTGCCAGATATTTGCCATCCTCCCCTACAAGACATATCAAAGGACCAAAACATCAGAACACAGAATGCAATCATGCAAAAGCAATAATTAACAATCCAAATTCTTTTTCCTGGGAAGATGAATCAATTAATGTTTTGCAAATCCTACTGAAACATCAAATATGTAATACATATAAATGCGCACACACACCCACAATCACCGTCAATTTCAGTAAAACCATACAGATATGCAAATAAATGCACATTCAGAACAACTAATCATACAGAGAAACGAAATNATGCAAATAAATGCACATTCAGAACAACTAATCATACAGAGAAACGAAACTTACCCAATATCAATAGTAGTCTCTTCAGGTAGAGATCGAGGAGGAGGTGCAATATAACCAGGCTGGTAAGGCTGCAAAAGCCAAAAAAAAAACCCATCATTAACAGGGAAGTACATGGCAGCTTGCACACATTATTCACCCATGTGACGTGTCAATAGGCTTCTGTATATATTGTGACATTAGTAGTGATGTACACAAAGTTATATTTATATCAGCAAAAAGTGACAGTTTAAGTTATCCCAAAACTGTAGATATACTCGTATCACTTCGTAGCTCATACTTGAATTCTCTATTTTGTTTTTGGGTGATAAAAACCTCAAGATTCAAAAAGACTAGAAGTATGCAGAAAACATTGCATTCAAGTTCAGTAAACACTTCCTAAAAACCTGAGATGTTCTTGCACAACTACTGAGAAATAAGGATCAATCACATACCTGATGGCATATTTCACAAGTTATGTCTCCTTTTTCATTACACCAGTGTTGAACACACTTTCTGTGAGCATACTGCATAAAATTGTACCCGGAAAAAAATGAGCCACACATAAGTGAGATCAGACAAACAAAAGGAAGATAAAAGGAATAAAGCAGATAAAGACATTTTCAACAATGTCTAGGAGGCATATGTGACATATCAATATGTCTCATTTCACATTCTTGTAGCAACCTAGGCATCATCCAAAGAATTTTGGGGTAATTCTTGCAAACAAATCTTCACAAACAAAATCCTTAGACATAAAGAGAGACAATGACATACTACAACAATTTCACTATTATTGTTCAAGAATGAAAGACCACACAACATTCAATTCATATGTAATATGCACCATAAGAGGACAGAAACAATTAATTTACAAAAATTTGAAGTTATGATTATTGATGGCAAACAAATGCTTAGAGTCTGACATGAAAGCAGAAGCAAAATCAATACTTCAACCCAAACAGGTCTTTGAATGAATGCAAACGTGATTGAAAACATGTGATGGAATTGTGTTGTGCTCTCTCTCTCATACAACCACACATGCGCGAAAGAAAAAATAGAGACAAAACAATATCAATTTATAGACCAAGTAGCAAAACCACCAAATTTCAAATGGAAAATCAGGAGATGCCTTCATTGTCTGCAAATATAATTATGGATACCCTTCTCCGTTTCATTTGTAGAAGAATCTGAGCTACTATGGTTTGCAATTAGTTATATGGGTCAACACCCATCAGGTCTCAGGAATGCCTGAAAACTCTGACAATAGTCATCTCAGAGATTTTGTTGTAACTACCCTAATCTTCCAAATAACTGTTAGAGAGAAATGTGAACATTTCTCACAATTATCCTAGATCTTCCCCCAAAGTACCAATTTCAGCTCCGCACATGAACTTGACAACATTCTTATTATGTCTGACCAATCACTAATAATATTTTGCCATAAGTACCCCACTTCAATTTCTAAGCCATTTACCACCTCAACTTTCCAAAACAAATACCTAGTTTCATTCACACAGCATTTCCTGTCTTCACTCGCAAACAACATCAACCCCAATACCAATTTTGATGTCCTTGAAAGCAAAGGACGAAAAGCAAAAAAAGAAGCTTTTCTTACCTTTCCCGGTAAATGGAATAAAGATATTACACCTTTTAGCATCAATTCCTCAACTAAATCATTATAATTGTAATGTTGCAATTGACAACCACATAGGTGTATATACAAACATTATAGTGCCAAAAAAAATGCCTACAGATTCACACAATTCATTGCCTTCTCTTGTGAAAAGGGGTATCAACACATTACCTTGAGACTGCCGCTACAAGCACAGGGATTCTCCAAGTTATTCACAGAATCCTCCTCCTGGCAAATGCGGCACTCCGCCGCCGCTATAAGCGGCGATTCCTCATCGAAACCCTCATTGTGATCATCATCCTCCACCACTACCGCCGAATAAGACGATCCCGCCATATCTGCGCGATTTACACTGGACCCAGAAGCCACAGCTTCTTCGGCCGATTGTACGGTCACTTCCGGCTTCAACAACCGGTCAACGTACACAACCAAATTCTCACCCATTTACAAGAAACACGACCTACACAAATTCCCAAAGAAAACTAAAACCCAAAAAATTATGATAAACTCAACAACATTTTTGGAGAATTTACAAAAAAAAATTAAAAAAAATCCCCAGATTTCCACCGATCACGCTTGTAAAAAGAGCGGATCAGAGAATTGGGGTGAAGTGCAATTCCATGGAAATGAAATCGAAGTGGTAGAGAAATCAAGTACCTGAAAATAGGAATTATGAAATGGAAAATCGCGTCTTTCTTGGCCGACCGATCGAAAAAAAAGGGGTTCTCCGTCTCCCTCTACTTTCAACTCTCTTTCTCTCCGCGTTTTCGTTTGTTTTTCTGTGTGATGTTCGTTGTGAATTTTGCCGAAATTCCTAAATATAGGAGAGAGAGAGAGCCCGTATAGGCTGTCTCGGATTATCCAAGCGCGTGTTTTTTTGATGAGGTTGGTAATCCGTGACGTTCTTCTTTCTTTCTTTTTCTTTTTTTTTGTTCAACGGCTTGAAAATGGGCAAAATCGTCAAATTACTGGTATNGTTGTGAATTTTGCCGAAATTCCTAAATATAGGAGAGAGAGAGAGCCCGTATAGGCTGTCTCGGATTATCCAAGCGCGTGTTTTTTTGACGAGGTTGGTAATCCGTGGCGTTCTTCTTTCTTTCTTTTTTTTTTGTTCAACGGCTTGAAAATGGGCAAAATCGTCAAATTACTGGTATTGCCGCGTATTCGATTTTATTCTTATTTATTTATTAGGAAATATTTTAGCCACACCCCTCTTAATTTATTATATCTTTAAAGACATACCATCTATTATCCAAAATATCCCTAACACCCCCTATTGATAAACCACCATTTCTAACGACAAAAAAAATCATATAAAATATCAAAATTGCCCTTACATAAACTCCAAACACTCTTTATACATAAAATTTGAACTGAAAAAAATTTATTTTTCTACATATGAAAATTTGAGCAGATTAAAATTCAATTCAAATTGATTTTTTTTTTTACGTATTAAAATTCGAGCNACATAAAATTTGAACTGAAAAAAATTTATTTTTCTACATATGAAAATTTGAGCACATTAAAATTCAATTCAAATTGATTAATTTTTTTTTTTTACGTATTAAAATTCGAGTTGATTTAAGCTTAACTTGAATTCGATTCGAGCCTATTAAAATTTTATATTTTTTTCCTTATTAAAATTCTTGTCAATTAAAATTCGATTCAAGTCAATTAAAATTTATTTTTTACATATTAAAATTTAAGTTGATTAGAATTTATATTTTTACGAATCAAAATTTGGAGCGATTAAAATTCGATACAAGTTGATTAAAATTGGATTCAAATCCATTAAAAACAAATTTTAATCGGTTCGAATCAAATTTTAATCAACCTGAATTTTAATATGTAAAAAAATCATAAAATATAGGGGATTTTATTGAAGATATGTTTATTTATATATCATGAGCAACTTAATAAATTAGTATTCTAGTTAAGACCTTTAATCTTTTAGGAGTGTCAACGAAAATTCAAAATATATAGGTGTTTTTGAAGATATAATAAATTAGAAGAGATGAGACTGAAATTTATCTTATTTATTATTATTATTATTTTTTTTGTATTGAGATGTTCAGATCTACTTGTGTATAAAAATATCAAAATATGACACGACATGAACATCACATGAAATTTGAGGGTTGAGATCTTCCTTAAGTGACCATTTTCGTAAATAAGTGGATTCGATATGATATGATGAATAAACGAATCGGATGTAATTAAAATCAATCAAAAGAAATATATGACATGACTTATTTTATATACCCGTCATATAAGAATTATATATGATATGAATTCGATATAACAAAATTTGTTATATATGAATTAATAAACGAATCGGGTATATAAGAAATATTTTTTTGACACAAACTCATTAAAACTCGATTTGAACTCGCTACACCTAATACGATTGATATACTTGCTTGTTTATATACACTTTATCTACTTTATGATCCGGTCAAAGATTTATCATCTACGTTGAAATTAAGAAATTCAGAAAGTATAAATCTTTCATAATTTAATTATTTTTAAATTTGAAATTCAATACGTTTGAATTTACCTTTGTTTTCATTGTACTACTTGGGGTCTTNAATTAAAATTTATTTTTTACATATTAAAATTTAAGTTGATTAGAATTTATATTTTTATGAATCAAAATTTGGAGCGATTAAAATTCAATACAAGTTGATTAAAATTGGATTCAAACCCATTAAAAACAAATTTTAATCGGTTCGAATCAAATTTTAATCAACCTGAATTTTAAAACGTAAAAAAATCATAAAATATAGGGGATTTTATTGAAGATATGTTTATTTATATATCATGAGCAACTTAATAAATTAGTATTCTAGTTAAGACCTTTAATCTTTTAGGAGTGTCAACGAAGATTCAAAATATATAGGTGTTTTTGAAGATATAATAAATTAGAAGAGATGAGACTGAAATTTATCTTATTTATTATTATTATTATTATTTTTGTATTGAGATGTTCAGATCTACTTGTGTATAAAAATATCAAAATATGACACGACATGAACATCACATGAAATTTGAGGGTTGAGATCTTCCTTAAGTGACCATTTTCGTAAATAAGTGGATTCGATATGATATGATGAATAAACGAATCGGATGTAATTAAAATCAATCAAAAGAAATATATGACATGACTTATTTTATATACCCGTCATATAAGAATTATATATGATATGAATTCGATATAACAAAATTTGTTATATATGAATTAATAAACGAATCGGGTATATAAGAAATATTTTTTTGACACAAACTCATTAAAACTCGATTTGAACTCGCTACACCTAATACGATTGATATACTTGCTTGTTTATATACACTTTATCTACTCTCTGATCCGGTCAAAGATTTATCATCTACGTTGAAATTAAGAAATTCAAAAAGTATAAATCTTTCATAATTTAATTATTTTTAAATTTGAAATTCAACACGTTTGAATTTACCTTTGTTTTCATTGTACTACTTGGGGTCTTCCTAGACTTGGCTTTGCTTCGGTGAGTGNAATTAAAATTTATTTTTTACATATTAAAATTTAAGTTGATTAGAATTTATATTTTTACGAATCAAAATTTGGAGCGATTAAAATTCGATACAAGTTGATTAAAATTGGATTCAAATCCATTAAAAACAAATTTTAATCGGTTCGAATCAAATTTTAATCAACCTGAATTTTAAAACGTAAAAAAATCATAAAATATAGGGGATTTTATTGAAGATATGTTTATTTATATATCATGAGCAACTTAATAAATTAGTATTCTAGTTAAGACCTTTAATCTTTTAGGAGTGTCAACGAAGATTCAAAATATATAGGTATTTTTGAAGATATAATAAATTAGAAGAGATGAGACTGAAATTTATCTTATTTATTATTATTATTATTANTGAGCAACTTAATAAATTAGTATTCTAGTTAAGACCTTTAATCTTTTAGGAGTGTCAACGAAAATTCAAAATATATAGGTGTTTTTGAAGATATAATAAATTAGAAGAGATGAGACTGAAATTTATCTTATTTATTATTATTATTATTATTTTTGTATTGAGATGTTCAGATCTACTTGTGTATAAAAATATCAAAATATGACACGACATGAACATCACATGAAATTTGAGGGTTGAGATCTTCCTTAAGTGACCATTTTCGTAAATAAGTGGATTCGATATGATATGATGAATAAACGAATCGGATGTAATTAAAATCAATCAAAAGAAATATATGACATGACTTATTTTATATACCCTTCATATAAGAATTATATATGATATGAATTCGATATAACAAAATTTGTTATATATGAATTAATAAACGAATCGGGTATATAAGAAATATTTTTTTGACACAAACTCATTAAAACTCGATTTGAACTCGCTACACCTAATACGATTGATATACTTGCTTGTTTATATACACTTTATCTACTCTCTGATCCGGTCAAAGATTTATCATCTACGTTGAAATTAAGAAATTCAAAAAGTATAAATCTTTCATAATTTAATTATTTTTAAATTTGAAATTCAACACGTTTGAATTTACCTTTGTTTTCATTGTACTACTTGGGGTCTTCCTAGACTTGGCTTTGCTTCGGTGAGTGCCTTGTAGATTGGGCTGGTCAAACAATTGAATTCGAATAAAAATTAAATTATTTTGAATTCAATTTTTATGAAATTATGGACAGCTTTTAATTTCACACCTCAATTGAAGTGAAGTTGAAGAATTACTTTTGAATTTTAGTTCAATTTAATTGAATAGTTGAAATATAATCGAATCACTCACTATATTGATATATTCAAACTCGATTCTATGAAACATGAAATAATTGACCGGAATATCATTAAAAATACCAATCAATTTTTTTATCAATTGGATTTCAAATAAAATGGGATGGTCGGTCATGTTTTGGACATTGCTATCGAGATCGTTGAGGTTTCATGAAGACGATTCTCTTTCATTGGAAAGATGCAATACTCATTAACAAGCGTCGGTTTCTATTACATATTTCCTAACTCAATATCAATTAAATTATATGAATATAATTCAATTATTTAGATCAAAATTCAATTTATTTAGAATTAAACAGGCTGAATTGCAGTTATACCAACA